GGGGGGGTTTACCGGGGGGTTAGGGGGTAAGAACCGTCAATTTTACGAACGGGGCACCGGAGCGCCCCCGGGTCATCATGGGAACCTTGGTGATGTAAATTAGAGTTCATCCTCAATAGCAAGTACCAAACTATAGCCATACAATGAGTTTTTTGAAAAAATAATTTAATATAATTTGCATTTTTTAAGAAAAAAATTAAATGTTTATAAGACATTTTAGAATTTAAACAAGCTGAATATTTTAAAACAAACAAAATATTTTAAAACGAACCAAATATCTTGTGTATGATAAACGAATTGAATACGAATCTATAAAAATATTCAAAGCGAATACAATTACCATCCAAAACTAATGAATACGAATAATATTCATCAATATTCAATTCGGTTTGGTTCGTTTACAACCCTATTGGTGTACGTCCTAGTCCTATCAAAGACACTACTATAAGAGATGGTAAATTTTGGAGAGGAAGATTGCCACCATTATTCATCTTTTCAAAAACAAGGAAAGATAGCTTGCTAGTTGCTACTATGTGTGTTTTATTTTGAGCAAATTCTAATAGTATTCTAATTAGGGGTAGGGAATAAATCTTGCTGCATCACAATCCCAATAGTATCAATCTTGAACCAAACAATCTTGATGGTGGCTAGTCAGCATTTTATCTTGGTAAGAAGTAAGAACTTAGTCAGGCGTGTGTTTTTAAAACAAGTGGAGATCCCGACAAGAAAAAAATTACATTTTGAATATCTTACAAGAATTTTTACAAATGTTTGTACATCACTTATATCTTTCACTTGGATTGTTTTCATATAAAACTCACAATAAGATTGGAAGTTTTTATTTTACCTTTATTGGAAGTCGCGAAACAATCAAAAGCAACTAAATTGACAAAATCGAGGCGACAAAATAGGGATTTTCAAGGTTCCGATTCTTTTCTTTTTACGATCGATGATTCCCTGCAATTGTGCGATTGCACGATCCAAAGGATTTTTGCAATTTTGAGAGCAAGTTGGATCGGAAATCCCCTGGCAATCTCCGGAATTGTACAATCGTACGATCCAAATCGCGATTTTAACTACTATGTTTCAAATTGTTTTGTATGTATGACAGTGTACACCAGTACAGTTACATTTAAGTTTTCTTATTTTAAATTGTGATTTAATTCTAGCAATGATATTACAATTTATATGGGTGATATTTAATTATCATTTCAAGTTATTTTTATAGTTTGTTAGTTCATTTTTAAACTCGCATGTATTTTGTAGGGCTTCCTTTGTGAGTGATTCTTTTAGTTTTTGACAAAAACTTCATATAACATATGAAATATCATTGTCTGGATTTATCGAGTATCCCGATTAGGATCTAGACCTAATCAGAATTTTATAGTCAGGATCCCTGCTTCCAATAATACGGATCATTTTCATCCCTCCTCTAATACTAATGGTTATGGTGTATTAGTACATTGAATAAAAATAATAATGACCGAGAATTCGGTGGTGTTAACTTAGTTTTTCTTGCACATGGGGGGCATTGAACAAAACATGACACGCCCAACTCCTATTCATAATTCCGGCTAAATAGATAGAAAACTTTACACCATGAAAATACTGGACAAGCAAATGAACACCTTATGAAGTGTTTGAAGTTTTGGTACACCAAAAGTGTTTCTATCCTAGAAATCAAGTAGTCCAGTAGCCCATGATAAAAATAGTGTGATTTTTTGGTCAAACCTACATAGAGGCCAAAGAGAAATGTATAATCACCTGTGGGGAGAAAACATAGCCAAGTGCTCCAAAAATTGCACCTCCCAAGAGAAACCCTGAAATGAATTCACCTCCACCGCCACCTCTATTTTCACTAAATGAAAAAAAAAGATTTTGATAATATATACATGTGAAGACAGTAGGATAAAATGACTCTAGCTGCAACACTACATAGGCTATTTATTTGCTAAAGAACACATATAAACAGACATTTGATTGCATAAGGATTGCGGGTAATATAAGAAATCAAGATGTCATACTCCACCCATCCAAAAGTAAGAATTCACTTTGACCAGTCACAGAGTTTAAAAAAATGTTTAAATATGAAATAAGTGATTGGAATTAATTTTAAAGTGAGAGAAATAATGATGGCCACATATTCCTTACCAAAAAAGGAAAAGGGCTCTTATATTGGGAACGACCAAAAAAAGAAAGTGTTTAGTTTATCTTGGGATGGAGGTAGTAATAAACTAAGATTAATCCTAATAAGCAATCACTTGACTGTACAGAGAAGGCTGAAGGATACAATTATTCTGAACACTGCACTAGTAGGAGAAGGCTGAAGGATACCATTAGCATGAACACTGCACTAAAAAGAAGTTAACTGCATGTACAAGAAGTCCTTTCTATCATCTATGACCAGCAGACGTTAAGTAAAGTAGAAAAAATGGTTAACAATATTAGATTCTCACATAATAGAAAACATGGGGGATATTACTAGCGAAGCATTATTTCTAAAAAGAATATAAAGAACAAAAGTAATACATAGATCTGAACGTGTATACTGATATTTAAATGAAAACTGAGCAAAGCATACAATTTTCTTGTGACTAAGTACTTTTTCACTATTCTTGCATAAAACAGAAGCAGCTACAATATTCTCTATGATAAAGTGGCAAAACACCAAGATAAGCACCAAATCACCAATAAAAGTATAAGACTGAAACCCCTGATACCAAATAGCTGAAATGAAATTACCTAGATTGCAAGTTTAAAGTATTTGAATGAAAATTTCAAATTCTTTCACCAATTGAAAAAATCTTTAACAATTCTAGGTTTGTTGTTGTAAACTCTGCAATACAAACACAGCGTAACTTAGGTGACTATGTCATAGGAAAAAAATTGTCCTACTTAATAAAATAAGAGTTACACTGAACAACTTAATACGCTCATTCCACTCCATGCAACAATCAGAAATCTTTCAATCTATATGTGCTGCGTAAACTAACTATACGATCGACATACTTATAGAGTGCACGAACAGATAAGTTATTGGTTCTCCGATGAATCGATTTTCTTGGAATTCTCAAAGATGGTGTCTTCTCCAGCGAAGCGGACTTAGCAGACCAAGCTCCACGAGTTTTGACCTGAGCTGGACCTATAAGATGAGAATCATTATTACTTAATTTGTATTATATAATAATACACCCTTAGTACCAAAATAAAAGTCCGATTCGTTATTCATAGCGTCAAAATTTTTTCCATTTTTTTATTTGATAAAGTAATATAGTCATGACACCTCTTGTCTTATAGATCTTTTGACGTAGTATTTAAACATATAATTTCTACACCAATTTTGAAATAAGTTGAAGTAAAAATAACATTAGTATCCTAAAAAATAACATTAGTATCGTAAACCGAACTAACCTTTTCATTGTGGGACATGGGTAGTACTAAATTGTATCTATGAAATATTGTGTTACCATTGAGTTTGTGTATTATTCTAAAAAGCTAGTATACGAAACATAGTAAACAATCAGAGACTTATGACATCAACACCTTCTACGTCAACACCACATATAAAAGTGGTTTCTACCATTTACTACTCTAAATAATTAAAAATGGCTGGTTTAAAAATAACATATTCTTCCTCCATCCAACAATTAAATTGATGTTTTGACTTCGGGGGGTTCAAGAAAAGTGTTGAAAAATAAAGTGTATGATTGGAATTGATTTAGAAGAAAGAGATGTTGCGAGCTTCCACATTGGACTATTGGAGTATACACTAGGAGGTTCGAATCTCAGGTTCATAGAAAACTACAAAAGTGCAAAAATCATATGTCTAACCAATAAATTATATTCATCAAAGGTTTAGCCAGACCTACACGTCTTATAAATCATACTTCAAATTCCATATTTACCAGATAGGGTCATAAAAAATCCTGTGAGAACTCAGTAATGTGGGATGGGAATGGGATTCATTAATCATACAATAGGTATGGTCTGATAGACAACTAGGTTGTCGTTTGTACACAAATCCATATTTTATAATTACATCGCAAAAGAGGTTAAAGTCTTAAAGAGCTTTAATAATGCTGAAAGCTAAACAATCTTAAAGCAAATAACAATTAATGAGGTCCCAATCTGCTACGAAAGTTTCTCTCACTTCGCCAGAAATAGTAACGAGAATCACTCCATGCCGCTTAATTAAAGTTTTAAGGAACTGAAACAACAGCTGAACAAACGAAAGAAATACAGCTGAAAAGAGATATAGAAGAAATGGAACTGCATGGAGTTACCTGAAATAGGAGAAAAGGCTAAGCCAGTCGCCATGGGAGCTAACAATCGGATCTGAGTTCGAACTATAGAGTGAGATTTGGGAGCGTACAAAGAAATTTCCTCAGTGCTTTTGCCTCGAATCCATCGCGTGAAGCATAATTCTGAGAAAAAAAATTAAATTCTTTTTACATATTAGTCCCTATATAATAAATATCAATAATTTAGTTCCTAATTATTACATTTTTTCATAAATAGTTTTTTGTTAACATTTCTATTAAGAACATGAAATTGTATGTTCACATTTCTCTCTCTTCAATTAAGCTTCATTTCTTCTCTCTTACTCATTACCCATTGCTGAGTTTGAAGCTCAAAACTCAAAACCGAAACAATTTCTCCCCTCTCAATTGTTCATCTTTCTAGTGGAATCCAAATTTGAAATCAATAACTTTCATGAATGAATTTTATGGGCTAGTCTTAGAAAATTGCAAAGAAAACAAACCTTAAAATTCATTCATGAAATTTACTGATTTTGATTTTGGATTTCACCAGGAAGACGAACAATTGAAAGAGGAGGGATGATTTTGGTTTTGGGTTCAAAGCTTCTAACTTAGCGATGGGTTTGAGAAATGAGTGCGGGAGGAGAGAAAAGTTTAATTGAAGAGACAGAAGAGTGTGAATTTACCATTTTGTCCATGTTTTTAATTTAAATGTTAACAAAAGATCATTTGTAAAAAACAATATAATAATAGGGGACTAAATTATTGATATTTGATATGTAGGGACTAAATATGTAAAACGAACTATAACTGGGGACCTTTTATGGAATCTACTCAAAAAAAATATAAACCTTATTAATCTAGAGAAATATTATATAATTTTTTAAAACTATCTACCATTTATTTCATTTTATTATTTTTCAAAAAAATTATAAATTTTAAATTTAAAACTTTGGAAATTGTTGTTTTAATTTTTCAATAATTAATATAACTTTCATTTATTTACATTCAAATACCGTTTATTTTGGAAAAAAACTTTCCATTTTTAAATCAGTATTATATAATATGCACTTTACCATTTTAGTTTTTTAATTTACACAATAATTTTATTATTTCTCAAAAACAATAAGCTTAATGAGGAACACACGTATGAAAAATTTATTTTAAAACATAACTATAGCTATTCAAAAGCAATGACCATATTGAAGAAGAAGGTTACTATTATAATTTTTCGAAGAAGAAATTTAAATTATTTTTTATTTTTCTAAACTAATAAAATAATTATTTATATTAAAATACTTAAATGGTAAAATTCATATTGGTATAATACTTAGAAAATTAAAAGTTTTATGGAAATTTAATTGTCATTAAATGTAATAATAATGAAATTTAATTCATTTATATAAATATTAAATAATAGATGACAAAATGTTATATTTAAAATTAAAATTTATTTTTATTTTGAAAATAATAAAAAGAAATAAATGCTAGAAATTTTAAAATTTTGTATTATAATATTGTTTTAAGTTTAAGATACAAGTTGGACGGAGGGTGTTATAATCTTACAATACGTCGAAGTGCATTACGCTGAAGAGTTTTTGTCACTGTGAGCCCCAATCGGCCTAATTGGTGATATCGCCCGACAAAGATGAAGGGCCAGGGGAAAGAGGAGTTACTCCAGGTTGCTTAGGAGACTCCCGAGGAGGGGAGGGCCAGCCCATAGTTGCCAAGAGGGACCCGGCTCTTCCCCCGCAACAACAGCTTGACCCAGCTCTGGCGAGTTGGTGCGGCTCTCGCAGGTCCATTGTTCCAGACCCAAGTGGTATTCCACATCTTGCTCCAAGAGGGGCAGATGCTCGTCCTGCACATTCTTCCAAGCCGCATAATGCCTCTCGTGGATGGGGCAGGGAGCGTCCCAATCTATCTCCCTAGAAAGGAGTCGATTGGCCATAAACACCTTGTTGGCCTTGCTAAAGTCATCATACGGATTCAGAAGAATTGACGGCGGCTTCACCATGGGCCAAATGCGGCAAGGGAGATGGCGACAGAGTTCATAAGGGTCCAGTCCCCCTAGTCGTTTGAATTGACAAACTATGGGGAAGAGACGAGCTCCAGTGAAGAAGGAGAAGGATCGCCGGAGAGATTTAGAGAAGTGGATGCCTCTCCAGACATGACAAGGAGAGATATGAAACTATCAAGGGTTAAAGATGAAAATGCGTGAAGGGTGAATTGACAAGAGGTGCAAGGTAGGTTATAAAGGACTTAAGGCGTAGAAACCGAAGGGTGTGAATGGGTCAACATCCAGGGCAGCTAGATCGATAGAGTGGCCTAGAGCGGTGGGATGCCCCAATCTCCCAGTCAGACTGGTATGAATGGCTAGCTGGGTGGTGCACTTAGCCATTTGATGGGTTGGGTTCGCCGCGTAGGTGGGCTTAAAGGAGAGATTGGGCCCCAAGGTTGGGCCCGACCCCGACTTAAGCAAACCAAGAGAAGAAAGGAAAAAGTGCGAGATAAAGGGAGTAAACCAAACATGAGCAGTACGCGAAAAGTTAAGAGAACAAGTCAAATCTGACATAATGGCAAAGCCTTAATACTTAAGAGTTTTACAAAAGTTCAAAATAAAATACAAGCAACAGATTAAAAGGGGTCGATCACGCGCTGGTGCTTGGGTCTCCGCTTGCCTTGTTCGCCGCTTGGGTAGCTTCCCCTCCTTGATCGCCTTGGTCACTCGGTCCAGTTTCTTCATTTTCTTTCTTGGAGTCGCCAGAATATACTGCTCCATGTAGGGAGTGGGATCAAACTCCTCAATGTCATCACAAGGAAGGGGAAGACCAAAGTCAGGGAGGGAAGTCTCCTTGGGGAGTAGGGCTAGCTTGCTACAAAAGACCCTTTGGGCCTGGGAGAGGCCCGACCGATAGGAGACCTTCGACTGTTCGACCAGCCAGTCTTCCCCAGGACGGGTCGTGACCCACGCGGTGACCATCTTGTCCATCTTCTCCATAGGGGTCGCGTGGAACTCTAGAGAAGCCTTGAAGGTCTCAACTGCCTCCTCCAGGCGGCGGACCAGATCGCCCTTCTCGGCCTCTAGCTCGGCCACCCGGGTAGAGATCGACTTCACTTCGGAAGATAGTGAAGTTTTTTCCTCCTCCAGGTGAGTGGCGCAATCCTGCAGGTCGTGATTCTCCCTCCCGAGTTTGGAACTGTGGTACCCTTCCTCTAGCAGTTCCTTTGCGAGGAAGTCGACCTCGTCCCGCAGCCTTTCTTCTCGGCCTCACCCGCCTCCTTCACCTCATCCAAGGCGAACTGGTGGGCGATCGCTCAATGAGCTTTTTTTAGGAAATTTAAAAAATAAACTCCAAATTCCGAACTATTCAAAAATTAAAATGTTCTTTTTATTTATTGTACAGATTTTATACAGAAAAAAAGAAAAGACCTTATAACGTATAAGACTTCAAAATTAACAAATTCACGCCAAACGGGTTGACCCTATTCATTTAATAACGTGTCAACTGACTATTCTCATATATTATATTTTAAAGAAGAAATATTTAGCTATATATATACTGAGCATCTAGGGAGGCATACACCAAAGTAGGAAAATTGGCGATACGAGGCAAACATAGTGAATGGAAAAAGAAACGGTCAAAGTGAGTACCTGGCCGAACTTTAGGAGGATCATGTCGGCTAGGTCGGGACTAGAGCTGGCGGAAAGACGGGCCTGGTCGGCGGAAGGGAGCGTGGTCGTTGTCTCCACGGGGAACTCCTCTAAGCTAGAGGAGGGATGGTGGGGGATGCTGAACTTTGTCGAGCCACCTTCCGTCTCTATCTCAAAAGTCATGGCACACAAGAGGGGAGGTCGCTTCGAAGAGTCACCTATGGTCGCTCCCAATAGATTCCCCCCAAGAACCTTTGCGCATGATGAGGAGTTGACCATCATCGTCCCCAACTTTGCCGCGGGAGTTGGTTCTCCTTGATCCTCCACGCTGATCACCACTTGATCGAGCACGAAGCAATCCTCATGGCTCAAGGACGGACGATGCTCATCGCCATGCTCGACTGGAAAGTATATGAGGACAGTGTGCAAATGGTAACAAACAAGGAGATTAATATAAAAGAAACTTAGCCGAGGGGGGCTTACTGAAGCGGCCCGAATCAGCGTTCCTCCCACGGAGATCCCTTAACAAGGTCGGCTGGTGGCGATGATCGTCCCTGACAAACTCAAACCCGAGTTTTGCGAGGGACTCCTCGGTAACCACCATCCTAATCTCGACAGCCCCTCGTGGCAGAGCTTTTTCGTGTCAACCAAAAGTTTGGTCGTCGCCGACGGTGCCTTGACGTGACGAAACGAAGGATGCCTAGAGCCGGTAAATGGAGACTCGAGTCCGGTAGAGACGAAGACGAAGAAGGTTTCCAGTCCTTGGTGGACCCCTTCTTGTCACTAGAAAAAACTTGCTCGTCTGTTGGGAGAGGCAAGCGTAGGAGGCCCAATCCTTATGGCCCTTAGCGAGCTTGAATGTAAACAAGAAGTGATCAGGACTTGGAGTCACCCTAGCCTCCTGACACTTGACCAAGTAGCCTGCTATATATCAATGTGAATTGGGGACTATTTGGCAAGGGAGGAGATCCACTTCATTCAGGAAATCCACCAGAAGAGGATGCAAAAAAAATCGCAACCCTCTCTTGAAGGAAGCGAGATGGATCGTGAAGAACCCTGGGGGAGCGTCCATAGCGGTCTCGAACTTGCTGGGCCGTCGGACCTCAATGGCGGAGCTAACCATATCAGTAGCATTGGCGAACCCTTGGCCCGAGATCTGGCAATGACATAAAGCCATGATGTTCTCCTCTAGTTCAACCCTAGGGCCCCGTAACACGAGTTCTGGAGGAGAGAACTGTTTCCTCAATCGGTGTTGTTTCTGGCTAGACATAGCTGCCGATGACGGCTGAGGCGGGGTGGATAGGCCTTGATTTTGGCCGAAATGGGACGATTGATCGGCCTAAAGGGAACTAGAAGACGGAGATGGTGAATCAGAATCCAAAGACGACATGATGATGAGCGAAGGACAGACCTGGAAATGTAGAAAGCGGGTCGAGGTGCAACCGAAGTTGGATAGATGAACGATGAGATGAAGGAGGCGTCCAACGGCGGTTTTATCACACCATTGAGGAAGGTGAGAAGACAGGTTATGATTGCCTTTGGGCA